CACACCCCCCCCCCCCTACGGATGATTTAAATCCGAGGGGTCATATTTTTACAAAAAAGATGGATGGTTCAATTCCGAGAGGTGTCATTTTTTGACTATTTGTATTTTCTATATTCACACCCCTACAGATGATTTAATTCCGAAGGGGGTCATATTTTTTATTATTTTTTTTTTCATATTATCCACACTTCCCACAGATGATGTGAATCCATGCGGTCGTAATTTTTAAGCTTCCAAGGGGTAGGTTTGTAAAAAAAAAAAGTGTCAGCCAAGAGATCTGGGGGAGGGTGTACGCCCTTTTAAAATGCATGCAGTCATATGTGGCTGTACCCCTGCTCGCAAACTGTTTTAATCCAAGAAAATCTTTTTATTATTCTGCAACTGTGCCGATCAAGCCCGCACTAACATATCAGTCGCAACTTAGAATAAAGAACAAACCAATGTGTTGGGGCAAATAATTCATGTGTATACTTGAGTCTGACTTACTTGTACATTTCAGTTGTTCTCAAATTTCATTGGCATCCATGAACTGGAATAGTTGACATTATAAATTAAAATAAACTCAACTCGACATGTGGCTATTACATCGGACATTACAACACTTGTACACATTTTATTTATAATATTTGAAATCTCTGTATTTTACTGGCTGGCATAATTAGAAAGCTTCGCGTTCATTCCCATTATTCCAACTCTATTTTATTCACACGCGTAAGTTTGGTTTGTGCGCAGGTTATCATTAGAATGCCATGCACAAGTCTGATTTGGGCGTACGCGCAAGTGGCATATATACAAAACTGAATCTCACCTTTTCCACAGGCAACTACCCTGTAGAGGCACCCTTACATACACGGTCATGTATGGTAGGCTCGCACGGCAATTCACATTTATTGTCAAGACCATGAATGAACACAAAGGACTGGGAAATTACAAGGATCACAAAAATTTCCAATGGAAAATTAAATAAATTTGGCTTAGTCAAAAGCTTGGAAACTAGTCTATAATAGTTGGCAGAAGAACATTTGTTTTATTTACCTGAGCCTTGGAATGAAAGTCGTACATAATATAAAATATGATTTTGTGAATATACATCATGCATGGTCTCAGATAATGTTTAGAAAGTTTAATGTTCCGCGTAGACCAAATATAATCACGCAAAGTATAAATACAAAGTGTTTTAATACATTGGTGAGAGGTTGCATTTTACGTGAACAAGAACATGCATTTAGAAAAAAAAAGCCGAAGTCAAAATTTTGTACAACACACGCTGCGACAACTGAGTGATCAGCGACATCATTTTGGGGGCAATTGAATTCAAGTACTTCTTTGCGAAACTTGCTGCGCTGCGATGCTGACATCAAGTGTGTGTTGACCGTAGTTTGACACGTTACCTTAGCAACCCCTTTCGTTCTTGCCTCGTGTGTCGTTCTAGTAAAATTGTTACGATATCCGACGGTACTGTAATTACGCAACTTGTATACAACTCTGTACTGGCTTTTCTAATTACGCAATTTTATTTACAATATTGTACCGGCTCTGAATATTTCAACATTGTAATTGCTTTCATAATAATTACGCAAACTCAAGTTATTTTTACTATTGTTAGGGTAATAATTACGCAATAATTAATAATAATAATAATAGGGTAATAATTACGCAAACTTACACATGCGCGCATTTAAATCATTGAAAAAGATAGTAGTCAGGTGTCTACCGAATGTCGGGAAAATATTTTAAATACTTCATTGATGTTCCTATTATGAATTATTTTATTCGAAATGAAGTGAATATGCAATTTAAACCATACAATAACATACCATATCATGCGCAATGTTTAAATTTTACTACATGTATAATATAATAAACTCTGGGCAGTGCACTTCGATTACATTATTCATGTACATTTCAACTGATAACCACATGTTTGAATTACATCCGACGATGGGCAATGACCTCCAGAGTTCATGCACTGACATTTAAAGCAAGAGAGTTGTCATCTACGCATGCGTCCATAGTGTGTCTACCCATGCCTACCCTTAGCTGAGGTTGACAATACATAAATACATACATTATGTATTAATTGGTTAACTTGTGTCTTTTGTCATACCAAAATGGTTCAATATTTCAGGGCAAAAGTATTGAGGACTGTTCACAATTATAATTATCAAACTTTTGACATATATGAACATTTAGGTTTTAAAGTTGTACATGTATTATGTTTTAATTTTTGTTGAAAATTGATCATTTCCTCTTTTCAGAAATATGTTTTACTACACGGCATACATGTACATTATAATGCCTGAAAACAGTTGGTTTGAGTTTTCAACAACTTAGATAGTCTCAATTCAACATTGTAAATACCGGTAAACTATTAAATTTTGTACTGCTGGCAGGTTCTACTGTTATCACAATACTTTTTCGCTAAGTTTCGCTTAGTTTACGCTTTTAATGTGCAGCCAGACTCCACAGGCCAATGTTGGTAAGTTACTCACTGTTGCATCATGGGATTTAAGTTGTTTTCCTGACTTAAATAACTTGGCCATTTTTCAGGCAAAACCCATAGATGTTGTCCTGGATTTTGTTTTTGGATTTAGTTAAGGGGGTCAAATTAACCTATTTACAAAGGGCTTTCAACTAAATATAAAACATAATATATACAACTTTAAATTAATGTTTTTGTGACATTAAATCCAAAACAGTAAACCAGGACAACATCTATGGGTTTTGCCAGTGTATTAAAGTTTTACCAACAGTCATTAGACCTTACTTGCTTTTATGTATAAAGCAAATTGTGAGCAATAAAAAAATGTTATTATATAACACTACATGTATATATGCACTCTAGATGTATATTTTTGCATTTACACTGAGCGCCATATTGCTTCATACACATGATTTGTGAATCAGTCTGCAAATTACCTGACCATTCAGTTAAACGTACTTCTACATTGCAATTAGTAGAGACATATCACAATAAAAAAAAATCAACACCAATGACAAAAGTCATTCAACTAATTTTCGGACCAATTTGCAAATCAGGTGCACAAGACAATGTGGGACACCCACATCCCTCAAGGTGACGTCATCATATTATGACATCACTCTAGTTGTGCAGACCCCCCCCCCCCAAAATCATTGACTCCTTCCAACTGCACTGCTCTTCGCAACATACCATCCCAATTTCTTTTTTAAAATTAGAAGACCCAAATAGGCCACTTGCAAGTCACACTGCTTTTTTTCCCGAGGGGTTCTGTTTTTGTGTGTATCCGAGGGGTATAATTTTTTCACATACCCATCTGTATACGTCAAATCAGTAGTTTCCAGGGGGTGTGTTAGTTAACAAAAATCCGACACCTAAATAGTGGATTTGAATCCATAGGGTGTCATAACCTTAATATCCATCCATAGGGGGGGGGGGGGTGTGGATAAAAACTGGAATGACCCTGTATGTCCTACTTCCTACGGCAGTGCGTCAACAAGAAATTCGCTGCATTTTTTGTTTTCGAGCAATCATTTTGTTCACAGCATATGGAAAACAATTTTTCGTCTGTAATGTGCTCTTCGATTTCGTTTACGTCTTCTGAATTGAAGGACATAGCAGTTTCAGCATCGTAGTCAAACTCGTACACGTTATCGATCGTCGCCATATTTGTTTATAAGAATTTGACAGAATTGTCACAAAAATCACCGAGTGCTGCCGAAGGCGTCCGTAGTATGCTAATTCATGGTAATCCTCACTGCGCTAAGAGGAAACTGTCCTCCTTGATCCATTCGGCAAATAAACTCCCTGATCTATGTACAAACAGCGGCGACCATCCTGGTACCCTTGATCATGTTTTTTTACTTTTATCTGACAAAATCTCAGCTCGTACACTATTTATTGTCATAAATCCTATGTATAATCACTGCTGTGATATTCATAGTCATATACATCCACTTTGGCACAACATAATCAACCAAAAAGTTTGAGAAAACATGTCTTTAACGGAGCATGGCTGGAGCTGTTTACTACAGAGTTTTAAGGAAATAATTCCTATTGTTTAGAAGAGTATTTATACCTGGGCCTTTAAATACCAAATATACTGGTGAATAATCAATGCTATGTATGCAAAATTTACATATTTATTGATATTGTTTTTTGTTTTTTTTTATTGTGTAAGAATATTTTTCTTTTACTCATTCAATACTACATTCTTCATCCTTTTAGAAAGTCTGATGGAAAGAAAAACAAGTCATCACCTGGTCTCTGTGATTTTGATGATTACAACGTGGGAGGAATTTCCAGTTGTATAGAAAAAAAAAATTCACATAGAAAGATGAAACCTGAGAAAAAGGTGAAGTTAAGCCAATTATTTGGACAACCCTCACAGTTTTCGACAGCACAGATGGTTTCACCATTGAGGCAACTCACAACACAAGAAGATAGAAATCCACACCATGTGAGTATACTGTAAATTAATTAAGCTATGAGGTGACTAGAAACAAGCATAAACCTTGTGGTTTGATTAGTACACCATATCTAGGGTTTAGTAACAAACTGTCATTGTCGCTGGCCAATTACGTCACCTTAAGGGAGTACTGAGAGTTATAGTATTAAGTGAATGTTGGAATTTGTGTTCTTTTATTTGTGGTCAAGTGATCTTTTTTGATTTATTGGTCTATTTTGGTTTATTGGTCTATTTTAGGATATTGGTCTATTCTGGGTTAATGTGTCTATTTTGGCTAAATAGTTCAAACTGTTTTTGCTAACTTGTTTACTTCAGATCACTAGTCCATTTGACTAACTGGTCTGTTTCAGCTAACTGATCAGTTTGGTTTGTTAATCCAGTTTGGCAGGTTAGTTTATTTGGCTTAGTCAGTTCAGCTTGAAAAAACTTGTTGGTTCATTTAAAATAATCGGTCCAATGTGTGCTAATTTTTAGTTCCTGTTTTTGATGAAATCTAAAATTGGGTACTATTACATATGACTTACATGTGTACATCAATTTTCATTCCCATTTGATCAAGTATGGCTGACTGGCAGCCATATTGCTCCTCAAAATTGCATATTAGGTTACAGGTGCATGTCATAGCTTTTTCAAAATTAATACAAAAATGGCCGACTTGTGGCCATTTTGCATTTGTTCATGTCCATGATAATATATTGCCTGATTCAGTCGTAAGTTTGTACATAAGTACTATACTCATACCATATGTAATACCATAGGTTGTGTTATTTTGTGTCTTGATCAAATTTGTCAACGGTCATTTTGTCTAAAATTCTAAAATTGCAGTCTGTAATTTCTCACAGATAGGCAGGTCTTTGTATCAGATTCATACATACTGGCTTGTATGATTTCATTCAAACTCTGTATAATGATTCTATATACTGGATTTTGGTTGCACTTTATATTTTTTAGTGATTCAACTAAATATGCTCAGTCCATTACAGTACATTTCCAGCAATAACTGATCCTATCACAACACTATTTAGCTAAATGTACTCGCACACATTGGTAATGCTTGTACATTTTGGTTTTGTGGTTCTGTCTCGATCAAGTTTGTCAACTGTCATTTTGTCTAAAATTCTAAAATTGCAGTCTGTAAATGTGTCTGGAATAATTTCTCACAGATAGGCAGGTCTTTGTATCAGATTCATACATACTGGCTTGTATGATTTCATTCAAACTCTGTATAATGATTCTATATACTGGATTTTGGTTGCACTTTACATTTTTTAGTGATTCAACTAAATATGCTCTGTCCATTACAGTACATTTCCAGCAATGACTGATCCTATCACAACACTATTTAGCTAAATGTACACACACACATTGGTAATGCTTGTAAATTTTGGTTTAGTGGTTCTATTTAAGGATTAATTGAACAATTTAATTTACTTTGTGTTGTATTGTTTCTTTAGCCCATTAGTTTCATTTTTAAATCCTCCTTTGAAGTCTTGAAACAGACATTGTGCAACTTTAAACCCAGGTCTTCTTCATGTACATACCTAATAGCTAATATATTATACATCTGGCAAGAATACTCAATATACAACAAACAATTGTTATCATTCATCATTTTTGGCTTATTGGACACAATCTCTGTGTAGAGAAAAGATGACAGTCTTGACATTGCATATAAATGTTTTGACACTACTGTGGAACCATTGTGTGATCACTGAACATGTTACTGATGAAAGTTTTGCCATGCATAGTGCTCACAGTGTACTCACCTCTTGTTGTCTGTAGGAGATGATTGATGATAAACAAGACAAAAATTCCAAAACAAAGAAGAAAACTATGAAAGTGGAACAAACTAAGAAGATTGAACACTTCAATGCCAAGAAAATACACAGTGAGATTTTATTTAAAAGGTACACTTTATAGACACGTCTCAAAATCAACCAAACTTTTTTGAAACAGCTAGGGTCCATGACAGATAAATAATAGATTCACAACTCTCTTGAAATAGAACAGACAATACCTAGTAAATTATCAACTGCACACAAAATGTGATGGTTGACAGTAAAAATGTTTGATAATGCAGATATCAAAATAAAAAAACTGGAATTCATTTTGAGCTAGCCCAAAATATTTAAATTATCTATACTCAATTTACGAATTTTGCTATTAATTAATAGACGTAAAAAATTATTTAACGTGCTTATCTTTAAAACAATCATTGTGATACCTGTATCCATTGATCTATACAATATTGAAGTAATTCACACCTCAAACAATTGCTGATTTCAGATCAAGGACAGACTAAACTACACGACTGATTCTTCCTCAAACATTAATGTCTATTCATACCCTATTATACAAATACTCTCAGTGATATTTGGATATGTCATAAACCCCAGTGTACCATAGCATGTACATCATTCTACAGAGCGTAACAAAGACTCAGAAAACACTCACACACTACTTATTACTGGAACCTAGGTGGATTTCATGTCATTGCGTCTTTTGTAGGGAAGAAGGACTCCGTAATGCAGATCAAGATGTCCCTCAGAAGAAGAAGAAAAAAAGAAACCTGGATGAAAGTGATGATCCAAATATCCAATTTAAAAAACGAAAAAAAGAGAAATTACCTGCAAATCCAGAGATAGAGAAAAGAACAGTATTTATTGGTAATCTGCCTGTGGATATTAGTAAAAAAGTAAGTTTGAATGCATTAAAATCCTTATCAAGTTTATACCTTCATTTGGATGTACTTGATAGTACAACACAATTAGTTGAGATAAAACAAAAATTGACCGAAAAAATGTGTTATTTTATTTTTATTATCAGGAATTAACAAAACTATTCAAGAAGTATGGTGATATCGAATCTGTAAGGTTAAGATCAGCGGTAAGTACAATCGCTCACAAAGTCTGATATTAAAGTTGTATTGTCAGAAAAATGTTGTTTGAAGCCATTGTATATGTACTGTAATAAATACAACAGCTATAGTATTAAGATGTATGACCAAAATATCAAGTCATATATGGTCATTATTTCATTAATTGATTAAATATTTATAATTGTTATACAAATGCCTCTTGAAAGCACCCTGATCACTGCTTGCTCTATTAGAAGCCCATGTGTTCAAATGTAAATACCATATTTTATTCCCTTGGTGATCTATCTGTTTCTCTCTGTATATGTCAAACCTTGTGGCAACTGTGCTAGAATTCCAAATGTTCTTGAGCTTGCTGTAAATTTTGTTGTTTATATTATCTCCCCCAACGCTATGTGAGCTGATATTGGCACCAAAATAAGTAAGCTGGTCCACTTAATTTAACCTTCTTCACCGCCAGACTTTCTCAAATTTTGGTGCATGTTTTTTAAACATTCTTCTGAAAATAAACCATAATTTTGGAGCCAACAGACAAAAATAGAGTCAATTTTCAGTTTTTGCTAAAAAAAATTGGTCATTTTTGTGTGTTTTTGAGGGTAATTGTAGACTATAAACATGACTATTTTGTGAATTGGTGGAACTGGTGGTGAAAAGGTTAACTGATGGCAACGTGTGAAACAGTGAAAATGTTACATACAGTTTATATTCTAAATACTGAGAATGAAGACATGTGTAAAATTACAGACGGTGACTTGACAGATGCTTTGATTCCTTGTAGGCACCGAGTACACTGGCACTTCCCAAGAAAGTTGTAATGATAAAGTAAGTTTTTAATCAAATTTAGATCATTGTCTATTTCTCATGATTGTTCCATCCTAACAATTTGTGTGTACAATATGTATTTCCAGCTTTTCTTCTCAAACTGATTTACTCACTACTTTTAAAATTATGACATGTATGATCTGTCGCAGCATGTAAAAGTGTGTGACTTGGGTTATTATAAGTGCTGTAACAATAAATTTCATAAAGACATAAATTTTTAGCTCCGCTTGACTTTGTTGAGCGGGGCTTATCATATGAGTGATTGTCTGTCGTCGTCCGTGTCAACTTTATTAATTTTTTCTTGAATACTACAATTCTTATAGCTTTGATACTTGGTGTATATGTACCTCGTGTAGACCTCTCTTGGATTGGATATCTTCAATTCTTTATTTTTGATGAATATTTTTGTAAAAAGTTATATTTTCAACTTCTTGTTAAAAACCGCAGGTCTGACTGCTTTGATAATATACATATAGGTACTATAGGTAGACCTCTCTTAGATTTGTTCATTTCGTGACGATATCTTCAATTCTCTAATTTTAATGAATATTTTTGTAATTTTTGGTAAAAAGTGATATTTTAAAATTCTTGTTGAAATCAGCAAGTCCAATTTCTTTGATACCGGTACTATACATATTGTTTATTTTCTAATATCTTCAGTTCTTTAATTGAATTGTGCATTGCTAACAGTGGAGCTATCTCAGCTGACAGGCTGCTTGTTTTAAAATTGATTTAACGAAGCTTGTAAAGAATCATGTGTAATGATTTTTTAAATAGCTTCTATAGCAAATGTATTCTTTTGTTTTGAATAGAGTACAGGCAAATATTTTACATATATTCTATAAATTGCATAAATTACCATAAAAAACATTGAAACATACCGGTACATGAAACTGACTGTATTGTTTTTCTCAAGTTACCACGTAATGTTAATTTCAAATCAAACTTTTATTTTTTCATTTTTTTTTAAATATTGTGCGAGGCCTATTTTAATTTGTGAAGGAGATAAAAGCAAACAAAACTAAGTTAGACACAGTAATTTTATGTTTTTTTTCCCACAGGGAGGATTTTCATCCAGATCGTAAAAACTTGAATGCCTATGTTGTGTACAAAGAAGAAATTTCAGCACTTAAATCATTAAAAAAGTAAGGCAGTAATATTTGTTATAGTGTGGCTTTCCTATCATATCATCCTATTATCATATAACACCAAGGTACAAAAAACAACAATTTTACAGGATTTACTTTTAGCTACGTACCATAATAACACTCTGAATAACCAGATTAACTGTTTATTAACTCAAAAATTCCCCAGTGTTTCTCAACCAATCAGAATGCTCCATTACAGGACTACACTAAATGTTCTGTTTTCGCAAGTCAAATCTCCTAATTTTTCTCATGAAGTGTTCTAGAATTTTTATATAGATTACTTGACATGATGAAACACTTACACTAAGCCCTGGGTTCACACAATAACAGTTTGAAAGACAATTTTATACAGTATCTATACCTGGTTTTGGCAGTGAGGTTTAAGTCAGATAAAGCCAGATTATGAGAACCTTTCTGAGATATAGAGCCCTCCACATGACCTGCTGCCTTAACATTTTACCTTGTATATATCCAAGAAAAGTCTACATGTCTCCCCACATAGCAGAACATAAAGCCCAAACCACTGTATTCACTGAGCTCACATGCATTCATTTACAACTGAATCTGCATATCATATAAATATGTTATTTTTTTATTCTGTTGAGAAATGGTAAAGTTGTGAGAGGTCACCATATACGAGTTGATGTGTCATCAAATGCAAGCAAGGTAAAAAGGACATTGTTTTAATGTAAATATGAAAATAGTTGTACAAGGTCACAAGGTGGAGTTGAACAAAGCTGCAGTTTGACCAAAATCTGAGGGTAACATTGACTCACTTGTCCATGAACAATTAGTGATTGACTAACTAGCAGTGTCTGTCACAGATATACAAAGGAAAAGCCTCCAAATTCACTAGAATGCAATCAGTTTATTTGACATGGGAACTTTGCCCAAAATAATGTTTTGTAATCGCTTTTTAATGAAATATGAAAGATGCACACTAGTAATTAAATTATTCTAATCAAACTAGTTATGTCTTGAATAAATCATTTTCATAATTAATTACAGCATGATCACCAGAGATCAGTGTTTATTGGTAATCTGCCTTACAAAATTGATGAAGAAATTGTTAGACAACATTTCATGCAATGCGGTAATGTGATATCGGTACGACTGGTCAGAGATGGTAAAACTGGTATTGGTAAAGGATTTGGTTATGTTTTGTTTAAGGTATGTGTTCATAATTTGTGCAAATATTACAAAGAACCAGAATAATAAGTTTTATGAGTCTGGTTTATTTGCATGTTGTGTACACATTGTTATATTCCTGTACTTGGACATGTACAGTGAAAGGCAAAGACTCTAATGTACCTTAGTGTATAAAAATATTCATACAAATTTGTAAATACATATTTATCAGTTTTATTCAAATTTATATATTTAATAGTGATTGGCTCAAGGAGCTCAACGATGTCTATTTCCATAATGCACACACTTGCATGCCTTCACGTGTCATAGCAACGGCCACTGCCCACTTATCAAATATAAATTTATTCTGTCTAATCTGGACATTGTATGATGTATGATGACATTCCATTCATCCCACACTCAATGATACAGATCTTTTGAATCAGAAATAACATATAATAAGATATCAGAACACTGTGGTCTTTTAACATATGTGGGGTTATGACTTATTTTTATGAGTGATGTTATAAGGTTATTTTGCAACTATATTTACAAAGCAAATCAAAGTAAGCCACCATTTTGAATGTTGTATTCTGGGTAGAATTAATTGACAAAAACAGATTGATGTGTGCTTTATATGACTGACTTACAGGACATAAGTAGTGTGGAATTTGCTCTCAAGTTCAATGATAAACCACTTTTTGGAAGAAAAGTGAGAATCAAGAGGTCGTTCGAGAAAGAAAAAAATAAAGTATCCTTTTATAATTTTCTTTTCAGTCTTAGTATTAGATCTTTGAGAGGTAGGGATATCGTCTATCAACTGTTATTATTTAGTGAGTTCAAATGAAACTTTTGTCACAAAATCTGTTCACTTCTATACATCATTAACAATTTAAAAAAGAAAAGTTGATTCTATGTTCTACTGATCAGTTCTATACACTCATAGTAGGAGTTGCCAGTGAGGGGCAAATAATATAAAGAATTATATAAAGTTATATGTTATGAAGTATCATCATCATGGCATTTATTTAATTTCACAATTTTGATGTTTTGACCAATGAACTTGGCAGGGAAACATTGAGTTCTATTGACATGTTCATATAGATTTAATTAAGCGGATTTTAATTATATGTAAAAATTAAAAAAAAAGTGAATAATTAATGTTTTTACAGTATGGAGTATACAATTATCTCTATTTTTTCAATAAGCTAACTGTTACAGTAACATTATACACAGATCAGTCACTTTGTGGATTAGATTGACAGGTGTATAAAGATGCATTTTATAAAGCGAATCCAACGGGTCTTTGAGGCTTACTTTCAATAATGACATTATGATAGGAAGATGGTTCGCAACATGGAATATAGTTTCTGTGGCAAGATTCCACTACATGTCAGGACTCATACTTCACACATTAAAAACAAAGTCATGAGAGGCAACAGTAACAATAATGATAGTGAGTTCATGAATCCTACACTACGCCATGATTTCCAAAATATCAAAGGTACTGACAATATTGACAGGGACTATGTCATTTTATAATTATTTGTTAAAGGTGAATTATCCTTAACCTGTTCTTCAACAGCCAGGTAATATAACTGGTGGTAAGCGCTCAACACAACAGTCTAACAAAATCACTGGTGTCAAACTCAGGTTACTACAGGCAGAACAAAGAAAGTCTGGAAAAATTATTGGGGGCAAACACAGGATACAGCAGACTGATCAGAGCAATCAAAGACATGAACAGCAGACTGATCAGAGCAATCAAAGACATGAACAGCAGACTGGAAGAAAACCAGTCTACAAAGGAGCAAAGGCCAAACAAAGAAAACCCAAGAAAACTAAAAAGAAATTGAAAAGACAATAATTTTATTTTTGTTGAACATATTATTCATTTAATAAAATTGACATAATTCTATATATTTATAGTTTGATATTTCAATCAGATTGTTGATATTTAGTAATGGTCACCATGGTGATACTATCATGGTCACAATATTCCTTCATTGCCATAGATCTGCAAATTCATGCAACGCAATGTTACAGCATCCCCTAGAGGTGGTGGGCAGAAATTATTTTTTAAACAAATGAGACAGGACAAGTTGCTAGTCACCTTTTATGGGACCAAATTAAGGTGTTCTTTGCATTCAACTCTTTAAATAGAGGCAAAAATGTAGCACAATTATTCAAAAATATTGCACATTTCCATAGGAATCTGTTATTTCATTCATATAAAATATTACTTCATATAAAATATTTACGAGCACAATATAGAACCGCGTGTCGTCATCTTAAAGTACATGATTTTTGTCACCATTTTTCAGATTCGTTTAGAGGGGTTGTATTTTCAATAAGATTGAGACAACAGGAGATACCAAACCTTGGGGCTATCTACTGCCTTACAATATTTAAAGCCACACAGGGATCTGTCTGACCTTGTCTGACCTGACAACACATATTCCTAATAGTCCCTTACGACCTTGTGGCTCACGAGAATGAGTCAATGGTCACGTTTCACCACCACAATGGCCAGGCTCACGAGAATGAGTCAGTGGTCACGTTTCACCATCACAATGGCCAGTTATGAACACCTCAGAAACGAGGGCTCCCTATATTGACCCAATTACACAAATCAACCAATTTCTGAACTCTGGGCCTAGAAAAATATGTTTCAACTAGTTGGTTTGTCTTGCTATCTATTTTGAGACATACCCCAGAAATGAATTCACAATGAAATAGTGTTAATCCATCAGTGCTTTTTAAACAAGGATACAATATTAATTACAGGTGTGAACAATTGAGGTAATTGCAGTATCAGGTTGAGGGCGCACTAACAATCCACGAGCTTACACAAATGTTTCAACTCAGATTTGTGAGGAGAGTACAATGTAAGCTCATTCTAGGTCTAATATACTTTATTTTTACTTGGAATTAATTTTCGCTGAAGGAATGATTGAGTGAAAATAAAATCCATCGTATATACCTTTGGTATATTTTATATTCATCTTGCAAAAATTAGTGAAAATAAAATTCATACTTTCGCTAAAGTATTGTACAGTATGTTACGATGTATTATACTTGTATTGTTACATTGTACTTGAAATAAATAATGTATTTAATAGGCGCCAAATTAAACTGATCATGAATGCCGCTATACATTGTGTTTATGACTGCATTCAACTGATGGAACTTGTACATCTGAAGTACAATCTATATTTGATGGAGGTGTTTGAATTAAATTCTACACTTGTGATCACAATACATGTGTTTCAGAGTTTCTATTATGCAAATATTTTCCGGTTTAGCAATATTCTCACTTGAAAACTGATTAAAAACATCACCCACAAAATCAACCATCCACGGACACCATCTGCAATGCTATTCAGAACAGGAGTACTATGAATATAGTGTACAACGATGTCAAACAATATTCACAATCATAATTTTAATTCTCAATTTATTCTGTGATTTTTACCACACTGCACTCCTGGAGACAAGGGGTGCTGGCTTTCGGGATTGAAAGTGCCAGTCAAAACAAACATCACTAAGGATATTCATGAACATATATTGGAACATTCCAAGTGAAACTTATAGAAAGATGGCAGTTTTCAGGATTAGTTTATTTTGGCCCTCACAATGAAACCAGCCACTTCATAACAAGTTCAAGTTTTAACTCCAGGTTTGTCACCCCAATGTTGTTTAACTACATATGCGAAATATCTAGGTCTTCTTAATTACATTTTTCGTTGTGTTACAAAAGTCATTCTGAATCTTGCAGCATGTTTTATATGGATACTTTTAAAGCGACAGACAGCCCGGATGGCAGTAGGGTAATAAATAATACCAAGAGACATCAATTACTAAGACAAGACTGAGTTTTAATACTCTCAGTATGTACGTAAAGAATAAATTACAACTTCTACATATTCGTACATGCTAGAAAAATTTAATTGCATTTACTAGATTTATGTATTATTTCTTCATTGTATATGCTCTAATTAATCTAAAAGAGCACCTATTTTGTTGACCAAAGCAAATCAAAGCAAATCTAATCTAATTTAAAAGATCATGCAAACCGAAAGATACAGTCATAGTACAATTTCTTTCAAAGCTGCATAATAATTCCATGAGTTCCCTATGAGTAGGCTGCATTTGAGCAGACATTGTTAGTGTATAAATGGCAAGCATTAAAGCACGCATAGAACCAATAGAGGTAAAGATAATGCTGAGATAAATGGAATACCTTGAAGGTTAAATTATCACTCCTCTTTTGCCTCCAAGACGAAAAATATTACAACTGCAAAAGTTGGTGTTCAAGCAAAAACACCAAATTTGAATATGGTTAATATACAACTTGGTTTCATCGTAATAAAAACAATTCCGAACTTCTCAAGTAAAATTTTCGATTAAAATGAATCTTTTCTTCAAAACATGATATACCATTTTTTGATTTACTCATCATAAAACTGTACAGTGAACATCAATATAACACAGATTATTGCTGTACACTATTAATCATGTTATACAAATAAAAAAAATCCAGTGAGCTTGGTTTCTTCTCTCTCCTCTGAACTGATTTAACATATCAATATTCTTAAATAACATCTTTCTTGTTAAATAAAAACTATAATTCTTGTTTTTATAACTTCACTTTTAAAAATGTATACAAAATATAATTTTAAATTGTCTTTGATGTGAAGTGTGGTCATGTGACTGATGCTATTGAGTAGTTGTACCAGGGTGTTGATATCAAGGTACAACGAGATGGATTTGTTTTTAACAATGAGAGTATGACAAACAAAACAAGATGTAACATTGTAGTACACAGATGTGCATTCATTTTGGTCTGTACACTCAATAACACTAGTACATCAATGACTGTGATTCCATAAGTCACAAGAGCATGTCTCGTTCCAACACAATGAACATTATTAGGGTACACGTTTGCATACATGTGATGACAATTCATTTAAAAAACAAATATACAGGAACATTGGAGTGTATTAAACAAGCACCATGTAAAGATGGGATTGGCAACATAATTTGTCTAAAAGCTGAATATATGAAATTGCATACAGGTATCCCACAACACTGCATTCCCAACCTTAGTCACTAATCAAAATATGCAGCTCGGCTACTCACATAAACTGTTAACATGTTAACACATTAAGCAACAACCAAATGTTACTTAATACATTACGGGCAGTATAAGGACATATGTGGTGTGATCCAAACAAAACCTTGAAATGTATACTCTTCACACCAACTTTTGTTATTAGTATGACCAAAAATTTTTAGTCTCTGAACTACCGGGTACTTCAGAATGGATACAAGCAACAGAAAATTTGAATGTGACATGTCTGAAACTCTGGCAATTAACCCTGAGCAGAGGTGATGAGCTCGTGACCCATTGACTCTGCATGTACTTACAAAGCTTGCATGTCAAAATCCAGAAGTTATCCATTTATCAATTAATGCCTGAAAACATTAAAACAAGTTCATTGGAAAAGAGAATGTACTTGATGTGGGTTTTTTCAGCTATTATACAGTGCAGCTGTTTGAGATGAAATCTTTGCCCAAGCAATAAATAAATAGATATTTAAAAAAAAAAAAAAAAAAAAAAGGAGTGGGTAACAGTAAATCTGGCCCTTATAATAATCTATAGTACAAAATTTCATTCATTTTTGAATAAAATCACTAAATGTATTGAGATTGCGAAACCAGCTCTCCCACAAGAGGGTGAAAAGTTTCAATGTTAATCAGTGAAGTTTTAACAAATTTTGTGGAATTTTCAGCTTAATAAGCCAAATAAAAAAATCAGACAGGAACCATCCATCTCAAAGTAGTAATACTGAGAAATATATTTTACATAAAATCTTGAATTTAAAAATCAATAAAATTAGTATCAGTATATAAACATAACAAATTGCATCGATAATGGGGTTGCGAATGACATCATTTTTCCAATTGAATATAATCACAACACCATTGTCACTCGACCAATTACTTCTTAGTTGACCATGATTTCATATTTTTTACAGTCACACATTATCCAGTATAACATATCAAAAATACTCTGGAGAGAAATGGCGCCTTGTGGGTGTAACCCACACAAATTTGATCTCGGTGATCATAAATTGTTTATATATATTAAAAATGTAAAAATCTATGTCATGGCTATTTGCTACGAGATTTCCATCGCTGTGGCTACTTGTATGGCATGTTGAATTGCTGCTGCTTGAGCTGTAAGCAAAAAAAAAAAAAAATATTTTATATTTAAACAGCGTTATTTTTCTACTCTTGTTAGTTTTTTAACCCGAGACAAAAATGGCATACAGAGTGAAACTCCAAATTCAGGGATAACATTCGTTTGGTTACTTAGTAGTACATCATGTAATTTATGGATATTTTCATAGTCCAAATAGTTCTCAAATTGAACATGCATATTTTAATTTACACAGTACTTGAATAAATATAAATATTCTCAAGTTTGATTCAGCAATTTGGCAAACCAAATTGCAAGATTGCCAACAGTAATCTCTACATCAAATATAGGTCTATTCAGTAAAAGTAACTTTCTCATGGTCAGTTTGAAGATTTATTGTTGATGCAGTTGCACTTATGATCAAGAGGTCATAGGCAACTAATTTCGGAGATAATATTATTAGTAAAAAGTAATATTTACATTTGTTTTTCGAACACAGAGCTGATACTTAACCACTTGGTATGAAATCTACATTGACAATGACAATGTGATCTATCCCTACCATAACCACAAAAAGAATTACAGAGATACCATGTGATCCAGCTGACAAAATCAACACATTCTTACCTTCTCTTTCTTTCCTCCTCAGCCTCTTCCTCCTCCTGTCTATACTAGCAACCTCTGCTTTTAAGGCCATATAGATTTTACGAAGTTCTGTCAATTGCTGCTGTATAAATGCTATTCTTTCCTCTGCACAGTTAATGTGAGTCAAATCTATAAGAGACACAAGTGAAGATGTATTAGTTCATCTCATTGCGCCAACATTATTCACACATAACCATGCATATTTGGATGGAGGCTGTCAAACTGCCATAATAGCGCAAATAAATTCCAACTTTCTGTAATTTTATCAAATTTCAATGTTAGCGTGGAAACAAACAAACTTGTTATGCTAATGCTTATAGACTTTGGCCAAAGATTCAAATTTTGATTAATATCTATTTGGAAAACGAGCAGAATTTACTAGAATGTTGATAACTCTTCCATAGGAAAAGTGGCTGAATTGCATATGAAAAAGTTATTTGAATAATCCATTTTTGTTTTGAAAAAAAAAGCTACAAGTAGTGGCCACAATGTATGAAATACACAGCTAAGAACACTACAAGATGTTTTCACTACAATGTCTATCCTTGATAGTTAATTTAATTGCAACCTTATGAACAGTCACAAGATGTGCTTATCAATACACAAATGCATAAAAGTAGCCTTCTAAAATAGGTTGGCCAAAACCACTCTCAAACTACATTTTGTATAACAAACTCTGGTGTATATGGTGAAATATAGCATACCTATAACAAAGTTCCATTTTGATGGCCTGGGTGACCTTGATCTTGGACTTCCTGGTTTGCCATTACCACTGGAACTTGATGAAGCAGATGTCGATGCTGCAGTTGGTGAACTTGGCCGAGCTGGGAAATTACTTAATGTACTTTGAGTTGGAACAGCCTCATCACTATCACTGCTATTTTGTGGCTTGTCTCTAGTGCTATCTCGCCGTGTTCGACCACTTCCTGCACGTTTGCGACTATGTCGCCGCCTTTTTGCTGGAGAACAGTCGTCTGTTTCTCTGTGCCTCTTTCGTGTTGGAGCTTCAGCTTCATTACTGCTGTTACTTTCTATGTTAGCAACATTGCCATTGCTGCCACCCCCACCATTCTGGCTTGATATAGAACTGCCACTTGAATTAAGAGTTGGTGACTCCACCCGACTAGTCACGACTGTAACTTGAGCTGATGATTGGTGCTGTGATTGGTGCTGTGATGTACCTCCCACTTCTATGCTTGAATCACTGTCACTTTTATGCTCTTCATGTACTTTGGAAGGTTCTTGCTCTGGCTGTGGTTGGGCTTCTTGTTGTTTATTACTTGTTATGACTATTTCATCAACCATGGCTGATACAGGCGATTGTTCAGGTGTTGATGGTGGAGTATTAAGTAGTGATTTTGTATTATCACTTTCTTCAGTTTTAAGTTCTTCAGTATTTACACTAACACTTGCTATTGGAGAAGGTTCCTTCTCTGTCACTTCACTTTTATCTGTTGTCTTCTCTTCCTGAGTCTTTGTTGTTATTGGCGTCACGTCTTTGACAACTGTATCACTACTACTACTCCTATCAATTTCTCTTTCTCCAACTCTGCATTCTTTTTCTTCTTTTTCATCCTTTTGTTCTATTTTTTTCATTTCAACTTGACAGTCTGGGAGTTCTTTTTCTTCTTCCTTCTCATACTCAATTGTATCTTTGGGCTCACACTTCATTTCTTGTTTCTTCTCTTCTGCTTTCTTTGCTCTACTTTTCCGAACCTTCTTCTTTTCTGCCTTTTCCGGAATATCCTTCTCCTTTGTGTCCACGGAATCCTTTTCCTGTTTTTCCATGGTCTCTGCTTTACTTTCTTCCACAAACTCGTTTGTGAAGTCTAACTCCCTACTGGTTGATTCCTTATCCTTTTTAGCCTCACTACTTTTTTTGGAGTTTTCTTTCTTTTCTGCAGTATCATGTTTTTCTCTCTTGTTCCTTCCTTCCAATGATTGCTTTTTTTCTTTTCGTGCCCTTATTTTACCAGTGCTCTCTTTCTTATCTTCTTTAGCTTTGGATTCTGATTTTGCTTTTACTTCAGTAACTGATTCCTGTACTTTGTCCTTTTTACTTGGTTCAGGTGTTGGAGACTTTTCTTTCTTGGCAAGCATAGCTTCTTTTCTATCTCGTCTCCTTTCTTCTTGTTTAATCATCTTTTCAGATTCTTCATCTTTAATACTTTCTGCTTCCACATGTTTTTTCTCCTCCAGTTCTTTGTCTTTTGACACTTTAGCAGCTTTTTCTTTTTGTGATTTACTAATTTTCTCTTTTACTGGTTTCAAAACTGGCTTTTCTTCTGGCTCACTTTCTGATTCTAGAAGGAAAAACAGTAATGAGAAAAACTAAGTGCCCAAAACGCCATTGTAATTCAATGTCTATTTGGAAAATTTACAAATGCAAGCACATTTATTGGCATTGTTTTTGAGAAAAACTAAACTGACAATGAGACTCTACTACTTCCTGTTATTCTGCAATCAGAATATGCTTTGGTACAAAAACATTAGCCAACAGTATCGCCTTTGACTTGGTAGTTCAAATTTGAATACTGTGTTGCACCGACACAATTATTTGAGAATTCCTGAAGGCATCTTGGTAATACAAAGTGGAAATGAATTATCAATATCAAAGTTTGATCTGTTGGAACTGATTTTGACAACAACAAATAATTTAAAAAAAACAATTTTGAAATGTAAACTGAATATGGAATGAGGTATTTATGGCACTTCACTATTGCTAGTAGTTTAGCACAGTTACCATAGTCACATTCACAACATCTTCACAGCAACCGATATCCAAGGTGTATTATATAAAACCAACAAGTTAAAATAATACATGGAACAACTTGACTTCTTTGTTAATTTAGGTCTTTGTATATTACCAGGACCTGGATTTGTTTCAGTATCACCACTATAATTCCCCTCAAAATGTAGCCCTGACACCACTCTACAGTTTCCACAGGGAATGGTAATGGTACAACCCATCTGTCACTGATTCAGATCAAGGCATGACCAGGTCATGACATCACTAAAAACCATAGCATTACCATCTAAGCTAATTATTTATTCTGAGCATGGATGAAAATCATGAGAAAGACCCATTCAGGATTTTTAGATCTGGAAAAAAAAAATATGTGCATATTCGACAGACTTGTTCATCAACCTGCTATGTTTCATTGATATCTGCGCCTGAAACAGGGACTAATTACCTGCCAAACAATTACCAAGACAATCAAATTCAGGGCATTTTCAAGGGGATAGACACTTAGCTGTGTGGCACTGAACATAGAAATGCCCTAAAAACAGGGATGAACACTTAGCAGAGCATGGGCACTGGGTCAAACCAATGTAAAAGTACATGGAGCTGGCAGAATAAGGGTTAATTTGGTCATGGATGTAGGTATTCACAGTTTCCATCAAATCCCACATTGTACTTACCACTACTCTCCATACTTTGTTTGCATTCTATTGGACCTGAACTTCTCCTTGTTCTTGTTTTAGCTGAATTGAAAGGAAACTATTTGTAAGAACATGTAAATTAACAATTCAGTAAAACAATCCAAAAAATAGAAGGCATAGCACAATCTATGCTTGAAAACCAGCTGAGTGTACCCTTTCGTTACCAACCCCTGTGTGTAAAGTAGAAAACATTTCCAATTCATTATCTATCAAATAAATTGCATACTATTTATTCAATGATGAAGAAATATAAGATGTCGATCTAAAAACTCAGTATTTCGGAAGCTAACACTCAGTAATTTACATAAGCATACGAGGTACTAATGAAGGAAATACACTGAAACAAATATTAACTACACTTTGGTAGTGTACTTATATGCTACCCTTTTGCAAGTGACAAAATACACACAAAATTTGTAGGTGTTCATCAGTAGATCTATTATTGAATATACATGGCTATAAGTTTGTAATCCAAGAAGGTTGTGTCTTTTGAATTTATCAGCTACAGTTATGGAAGGGGAATATAAGAAAACATGAGCAAAATGTTGTTCTCCTTCATTTAGTTTTGTGCAATTTTTTGTTTCCTTGATCAATTAGCAGTATTTTTTTTCACACTGTACTTCAGGCTTACAGATATTTTTTAATAATTGATTGTAATAATAATTAATATTTTTATCTTGTGCAAATTATTTTTTGAACCAATTCTGCCACTGCCCCAAGTCAACCCCTAAGCACATGGTTGTCTATTTAGGTGACACCACATCTGAGGGTTTTGTTTCAAAACTAATCACGTCAATGTTTATTAATTCGCTACTAACTATTAAACTAAAGAAAGAAACTTCAGTATATGAATATTTGATACAAGATTTTTGTTTGATGTTCTATTGTAATGACTGTAAATCAATTTGAATTAGGGAGAGTGATTGATCAAATGATTGATTTTAAATGGATCCAATATCATTGTGTAAATGCCACTCTGTCAAAAAATGTAAATGCGACAATACCAAAAAATGAGAACTATGTGTTTTCCACAGAAAAAAATTTCAGATTAGTGTACAAGTCTCGCGTTAAATACCTCTTATTGATATAGTACGTTGGTTCTATTATTTATCAAAATTACAGGGTAGTGGCGACACTGCTCTATCACAGTCTGGGGAGAATGCAGTTCAACACTATAACTATTCTGATACTCACCTTCTAAGCCATTAACAAATGGGTTATCATTCAAACTATTTCTGTCAGATCGAGTAATTCGTGTTCTGCTAGGGACTGGCGATACTCTTCTGGGAACAGGTGATGTTCTTCTTGGGACAGGTGATGCCCTTTTGGGCACAGGTGATGCTCTTCTGGGAACAGGTGATGTTCTTCTTGGTACAGGTGATGCTCTTCTAGGTATGGGTGATGCTTTCCTAGGGGCAGGTGATGGTCGTCTTGCGGCAGGTGATGGTTTGCTGGGGACTGGTGAAGGTGATGACACAATAGGCGACTTAGGTCTACCACTACCACCTTTTGGTGTAGATGGTTGACTTGTTTTTCCTGATGATGGTGGCCGACCACGCTTGGCTTTAACTTTCTCTTTTTCAACACTTTTAGTTTCTTTGTCCTTGACTTTTTCCTTCTCTTTTGATTTCTCTTTTGTTTTTTCTTTCTCCTTCCTGTCACTTGTCTTTTCTTTCTCCTTGATCTTCTCTTTCTCCGCCTCTTCCTTTACCAACACATCTTCTTCAACATCTTCTTTTTCCTGTTTTACCTTCACCAAACTCTTCTTCTTAGTTTTCTTTGATTCCAGTGATTTAACAAGCCTGTTTAAATTGACCCATTCATCATATCGCACATTCCAACCACTATAGTGTACATAGTACATCATATCACTTTCTTCTTCTTGTTCAATGTCAACAATCTGTTATTTATGAAAAACAAAACAATTGTCATTTTTTGTGTAAACAATAGAAATGAATACGTTTAGGAAACAATTACTATACTGACTGCAGCACCAAGTAGACAAAAATGATACAAGACACGCACATACGCTGGTTTACATAATTATTTGAAAAGTCATGTCCAGATACAAAATAATTTTTTTTCAAAATACATAAATTTAAAATAAATCTTGTCATCCTCCAAACGTCACTTAACTAATTTGGATTACTCTGGTGTAGTAATTCTTGGAAGTTAGCAGTAATTGTCAAATTTGTCTATTTGTGGTCAGTATACTCAATATAAGCATTTGCAACAATCTTTTAGAAGACGATAACGTACTGATTGACAGTACTGACAAACTGAGCAGTTAATTATATCTAGTTCAATGCAAGCAGCCACATCATTAAACAGACACATAATTCTTCCTGACCAAACGAAACCACATATTTACCTTAGCTTCATAGACTTTCTGTGTTCTTCCTCTTCCATATCTGACAGCCACTTTATCACCAATGTTGAAATCAGTCTCTCTCATTTCATCACTATCAACAATTCCACTGTAGACACAAATACGTAAAGTTAAAACAGAGCAGATGGGTGACAAGTCACTGAGATTAATCCACAAGTCCTTGTTTTTTATCTGCATGGGGGACCCTAAGTACGGTATTATATAAAACTAGGTGTGCCCTTATTATTTGAGAACAACCATTTATTAATGCATAAATATATTACTCACATTTCCATGGCAGTTTCTTCGTTTAACTCTTCCTCTGGTCTTAGTTCTGTATCTTTCTTCTTTTTCCTTTCTTTCTTGTCTTTCTCTCGCTCGCGTTCCTTTTCTTTCAACCTTTCCTTCTCTCGCTCCTTCTCCCTTTCCCGTTCCCTTTCTTGTTCTCTTTCCAATTCTAGTTCCCTTTCCCTTTCTTTTTGCATTTCAAGTTCTCTTTCACGTTCACGTTCTCGTTCTCTCTCCCGCTCTCTTTCTTTTTCTTTGGCCTTTTCTTCTTTTCTTGCATCAGATTTTCTGCCAGGCTGTGTATAACAATATGTCAAGACATACATTGGATAATTCAATTTTAAGATACACAGTTGTACAGGGTGATGGGATGAGATAAGCAGTCCAAGATTAGATTACAAAAAAACTGAAAGTTGAATGAAAACAACAAGGACATTTTTTCTCTGCATGTACCTTGCCTTTCATTTGCAATGGTACGGACAAAGTAAATATTAAGTAATGAATAAAATAGAAAATAATGTTTTACTTGGCACTTACAAAATGAAGATTAATTTATAATATATCCTCATTCCAAGTATTAGCTTATTCAAGGTAAATAAGTGCCAATTAGTAAAACATGATATAAATACAATCTTATTTCTCACCTTTTTCTTTGGCTTTGCTTCTTCTTCATCGAGTGACTCTCTGGCAGGTGATGGACTTAATCTTTTAACAACTTTTGGTTTCTGCTGTCTGAGCAGTCTACTACTACTACTGTATCGTCTTGTTGCTGTGAATCCCATACCAAGTTTACGACAGTGGTCCTCAAAAGCATAAAGGTATCTGTTTAAAAAAAAGATATATGTGTTAATAACATAGGAGGCAGTCATAGTCAACAAACATATTACTGGTGGGGAAAATCATGGCAGAAAATCAGCGCTGAAATATTGTTTTTATCAAAAACAAGTTGACCGTGTAATGGTCCCTTGAAGGAATATTGTTTGGCCGAAATCAATGGTTTTTTATGTTCTTCCAGTAAATTTTATGTGCCAGTGTACAGTAATACACACTTCTACCACTAACAGGTTGGTACCGTGGCGTTAGGGTCCGGCCTGTACCTGACACTACAGTGTATATGGTTAGATGAGGCACTACAACAGTTACACCAAATTTCTCTTTTTGATTTCACTAATGGTTAATAACTTCATAAAAGTACCCTTTTCTTACTTTTGTTTGACAAATAAAAACATTAATTTTAAAAGTGATATTTTCGGCAAGCCCATTATAACCTCGTCACTGAACAGCCCTGAATTTTGTAAAATGTTTGTGTTGGCATATCAGGCTGTTATCTCTCACGGCATTACAACAAAAAATGTTATCAGGAAAGTACATACAGGAAAGCATACATTCGGACAGAATGAGATGATATCGGGTCAATCTAAATAGTGTATAACTGCCTCATAAATCCATCATAGTATTCTTACTTATTGTAGGCAGCTTTAATGTTGTATGACGCAGCAGAGTTAAGTACTGGGATACCCATCTTTGTATATATCGTTCTCCATTTCTGATTGTCTGTCACTTTCTTACATCCTCCCAAGTCTTGAACAAGTTTATAAAGTTTATACAAATTTAGATCTCTATAGCCCAGCACAGGTGGTTTGTTGATTGGCGTACCTAAAAATAAAAAAAGTATACATCACCATGGGTTACCAAGGTATGACATTTGTTACTATGGTGAAATAAACAATTATTATTTTCTATTAACTATTAATATAAAAACCAACCCCGCTCCTCCATGAATTTATACAGTTCTGCCAGCCATCTGTCTTTTTCTTCATCATATTCATCATCCGAGTCCTCCTCTATCTCCTCATCCCCATCCACTTCTTCATCTTCACTGCTACCACTTTCTTCTTTTTTCTCCTTCAGCAAGTTACCATCCCATGTTGGCGGTAATTCATCTGTGTCTTGAAATGCTATTGCTTTCTCAATTGCTGCAACAATCATGAAATAGTATCTCTATTAATTTATGTTAAGTGTTTTACATGGGTTTCAAAAATATTAAAAAATGTACTTTGCCAATTAACTAAATAGTATGAATGCACAATATATACAACTATTTTGACTTGTGCATACCTGGTTTTAATCCTGAATCTGCCTTTGATAATGTATGTTCTTTCTGAATAAAGTCTCTCATATCTTTTCTTGAAACGCTGTGACTGTAGAAAGAAAAAAAACAGTTAGTACATACATTTCACAAAAACAGGATTCTGGTTGTAGAACCTTCCTGTTAATGGCCCATTATATTTTTCGGAGCATTAATGTATCCTGCCATTGCTAGTATGAGGTAAACTTACCATTTTCCATCTTTGAATGACTTCAATATAATGTGGTCTTTACCCTTTACTTCAGTTTCTCCTGACCTCTGAGGATGGATAATCTGCATAAAACAAAAATTAAAAAAATCTAAGCTGTGCATACATGGCTGAAAGCAATGCAACACCGAGAATGACAAGAACACAACAGCCACACCAACTGTAATAAAATCAAAAGTGCAGAAATTCAGTTACCCACCAGCGCTGGGTACCATGATGGTTTCCTCTTCTCATTAGTTTCTACGACAACAACTCTGCCCACATCATCATCTTCAGATGTTCGTTTTCGTTTAACTGGTGTTTTTTCAAACTCGCTGTCATCGTCATCATCTTCATCATCGCTACGACTAAGATAAGGAAACAGACTGTCACACAAGAAATTAGCAGTAGTGAATAACCGGAAAGTTGTACCCACTACCATCTGCATCTACTACCTCCTGTCCTGTCCCTCATCTTCACAACACTGCCCTTCACCAACAAACTAACAACCACCAATAGCAACAACCAATACCTTTTTTTTCAATATCTTTGTGCCAGGCGACAGATCTGAACATTGAACTATTGTCCTACGTTTGCTATTTCTAATTATCAGTTCTCAATTATCCAATTTACTAACACTAAAGGAAATCCAGAAAGTACCCACACTGTCTGTCAGGAAAATGCTGACATATTTTTGCAACAGAAACCACATTCGTTGCATTACACACCCACTTTAATATGTCCTAATGTATGTAAAAAGTTCACAAAATCAGAAAGTTGACACTGCAACCCTTCATTCATTACACATGCTGAATGAATGCACATACAAATACAACCACAATGCACCATAACAAAAGACCATCCATGATCTCTCCAGAAAAAAACATAGGAATGATTCATTTCATAGCAACAACAGTAAGTTAATCACCACGATATTGTGTTAATTATTCCCATAATAGAAGAGATTTGAGTTCTCTGGTTGCAAGCAGTCATCTGTACCCTAGATTGCCTTGGTTTTTCATAAATGAATAATCCATCTTTCGAAAGAGTTTTGTGATCATCATTTGATTCTGACTGACAGCCACTAGTAAACATTAAGGCAAAACATATGCTTTCAATTCTTTAATATGTGTGAAATATACTGCAAGAAATAGCTGATTCTCTTTTTGTATCATTTTGCAAGTCAAAAAACAGTACGATGACCAGCACATATTCTTACATTATTAATGGTATTCAACATATGTAAATGAGAAAATGTTTGATTCTGGAAAGGTGAATATTTGTCAGAACATTATTGTCTCCCAGAGATATCTTACATAAGTATGTACGAACATGTATGTGTGTGAATGAGAAACACTGCAAACATCAATATTTTCCAAACATTTTGAAAGCTGAAGTTGGTATAGTAAACAAGTCATGGCACAGTTGAGTCGCCATCTGTTAACAACATTATTTCATATAGAAGTGAATGTGTATATAGATGCTAAGATAAACAAGCCGTTGAATTGTCAAAATCCTTCCATTATTGTACTTTAATATAACAAATGAAAGGTTGGCATTTATATTCCTTTTTTTGTACAAATGTACCCAGCTCTACACTGTGCTAGAACACAATATCTGTTTACCAACTTAGATCCTACCTGGGCAGTATGAATTTGAGACATAACACAATTGCACACAAAAAGATGAAATCACAGATGACCACTTTGCATTGATTGTAAAATGATTGTTATTGAATGTAAGAATAAATTTGCCCCAAAACCAAAATTGGACGTAATCAGACAATGTGAACTTGAGATATAAAAGAATTGCGCAAGAAATATGAAAATTGCTAATTTCGAACAAATCCTGAAAACTAATGGATGTGCTCCAGTAAACCAGCGGGTGCTACCAGTCGCCCACATGAAAAAAAAATGCTCTACACACACATGAAATAACGCCATCAGCCGGCCATGGTAAATAGACGGACAAACAGACGGAAACCAATTCATAAGCTCTCAGTCAGGGTCTAACAATGTATGTCCATATGTGTGACATGATGTTTGATCAGCATTGTTGATCAAATCTCCTTCTGAGTGCATTGATGGCAAAGCAACCAGAGAACCCAAACTATATGAATCTAATGGTTTATACAACATAATAGTTGGCCCCTACATAGTACAAGTCTCTGGAGAAAACTAATATCAAAATTAATAAGGAAGTAAAAATAATCTCAATAAGTTAACATGCAAAATGGATAAGCTAATACCCAATACATCTATTGATTACTCTCATGAACACACACTACATCAACACATAATTTTTCACCAACAATAATACATACCTGGAGTAATGATTGGGTCTACGTCTTTTCCGTGTTTTCTTCCCATCTTTCATCACAGGCGTACCAAAATTCTCTGGATCAGTTAAAGGTAAGTGATCAAGTGTCTGCAAAAGAAAACAACTACTTTAAGCAATCACTGACTATTTTAGCTACCTAGTTAGCTAAACATTATACATTTCTTTAAAAACAAGACATTATCAACGTCAATGACTTTATGCAACAAGTGATAATTTCTGAAAACCATGATGGTCTGCAGCCAGACTTCTTGGACTGCACTATGACACAAACTATTATCGAATCTGTTTACAATAAAGTCAAATGCATATTTTAAATAATAGAAACAAAATTCAAAATTTTATGAAAATAAGAAGATCATAATAACGCTGTTCTCCGTAGGAAAATTAAATAGCTTTTTATCTAATTAGTATAACAATAGTACACATAGATCACCAACATCAGGAGTCCCTGCTCTATAATGCTCTGGGTAGAGGTCAGAACAAAATGGGGGCTGGTATACTGTAAATTACTTTGTTTTCACTTGGAACTTGTTTTTGCTGAAAGGAATGACTCAGTGAAAATAAAATCCAGCAAAAATACCTTTTTCCCTATATACCAAATTCAACTCATCAATAAACTTTATACAAAGCAGCCAAATATTTTTTCAGTAAAAATTTTGTTTACAGTACTTATAAGCCACGCCCACTATCGCTTTGTACTATTTTACTCGATCACATCCACTTTTACCATAATTTGAAAGTGGACCAAAACAATTGTCATTGGTTGATAAGTGCCCATCAAAAAAATAACACAATGATACAAGTCCCACAGTCAAATGTGAGGTATGATAATAAAGTTAGCCATTCAAATCATAACGAAATGTAGCCCCAGGAAGTACCCAGTATCAACAGTTTGAATAGAATTAGACAGTTCAACTTAGAGCAGCGATACATGCTAAATCTGGTATTATTATGCTATTTTGGGATAAATACGGTAAATAATCAATCATTTGGAACGGACTAAAACAAATAAAAAGTGGGAGCATGAATAAACATGCTCAAACTATGTACAAAGTTTGAAGAAAAGCTTCTAAAGCAGATGAAGAAGGAAACTAACACCAAATCAATAATTCCATATCACAGTATACAAATGAGCTAAGATAGACTTACCTCGCTTTCATTGAAATGTTTTTCACCTTGTAGACAGAGTGCTGTCCTTCTTAGAGTTCTCTCATCTCCATCGTCAAAGACTGAAAGATAATTAACATAGCATAAATGATTGTACCATGCATAATGTGGTTAATCACTAAAACATTAAGGGTAATTTGAAATAGTCAGCTGGTGGACAGACAGCTAAACCCTCTTGATCTACAGAATATCAGACCAATTACTTACCAACTGTATAAGAACTAGCATCAGTTAGTTTAGAAATGCAGCCTTCCATGAACTGTCCATCTGGATGCTTTGCTTGTATCTGATACCCTACCTAAACATTAACAGAGAAAGATTGTTCACTAAAAAAATATATAAATGTTTGAGTACAACCACCAGTCAAAAAAAACATATTTTGTGCTTTCATTATTAGCATTACAAACAAATAAAGAACAGTGCTAATCCACAAATGTTCATACTGAATTTAAGTGCCCAGGTATGTCTAACAACTGATACATGAGGCACTAATTCATATGGACCAAAAAACAAAAATAGTGTGATTATGCAAATATCATTGTTATATGAACTGTGGAAAAAATTAGTTACTTTGAGTTAGAGAGAAAAATATTTACCCTCAGTGGTCCTTTGACTTGGTCATCAGTAATTACTGCAGTTGAACCATCTTTAAAATTTATCTAAACAAATAAAAATTGTAGGGAATGATTGATATAGGGGTCATCTAAAACAAAGATGAAATTGTCTCAGTACAAAGTTATACTAGGGCAGTTTTTTGAAACATACAACCCAACATGATGAAATATACAGCAGCATGAAACTAGATAATTTTATTTTGCAGTCTTATTTGACAACAAACGATTTGACATTAATCTCGTCAAATACAGCTGTAGCAGAATTAGTCAGTGATATTTACAGTACAATGGAGAGGAGAGGACATATCAATACAATAACACAGTGGCAGATCATAAAACATAACTATATTCTCTTTCTTGCTCTAACAATTGTATAACTACATAAAATCATTAGCAATTCTCTCACCTTACACCTCACCAGTTTCTTCAGACACTTCACTTTGGCTTCACAGAATGCACCTCGATATTTAGCACTTACATCTGTACCCACTAGCAAGTAGGCTGGCTCTAGACCCAATCCAATCCCCGCCTGAAAAACACATTATAAAAGTGCAACAAGCGGTCCAATTCAATGAAGTGTAAAATAATTGCATCAGTGAGTACGTTTGATAGATATTGGGGTACATGGCAGTAGAGTAAGCTAGTCTTCTATTACCTATTTCTTACATTATCAAATCGGTTTTGGTGCTTTTGTATTGCCCATGGCGATGACAATCAGCATATTATATTATCATATTCTAAGTGGAAGAAATCCTGGCATACTGCCAAAACACAAATTGTACAGAGACATACAAGATGATTCAGACGAATTATGTCATACAAATATTGTTGAAATAAGACATTATTCCTTGTAATTTTCTCAAAAAACATTCTGCTTTTTTAGAAAATGTATTTACAAGATCTTAGCAAGCAAGTACTAGGTTATGGAACACCACCTGGTACACCCTACAAGATTACATACAGTTTGATGCACAGAATGAATGGTAACATGTGGCACCATGAATGTAAGGTCAAAAACAACAACATCAGATAGTTGTACCACATATAAGTATTACATAACACATGAATGTTAATTGCATTGAGGGTATACCAATTCACAGTAGTATTTTTTCCTAGGCCAAATCCTGGTGTCAGAAAGAACATGTGAAGGCAAGTAATGAAAAACCCCATAGCTCAACGTCGTGTATTAACAGTATATTGTTCAGATGCATCTTACTGAGACCTTTAATTTGAAATTGAGCATTTTCCAACTGAAACAGAACTGAATCACTGGAAAGTCTCTTGCAGAGTCAAGGTCATTCCACCAATACCAGTCACTTATTATATCAAACACAAGTTGATTTTACTTATTCATGATAAAATACCAACAGCAATCAGCCAACTTTACACATACATTTGCATGAGAAGATCTAATGAGAATTCACTTATTTTTTTCTAGTATAGGTAAGAGGAAATAAACTAGTGTCACTATCCAGATTCGAAACTAACTCTTTCTTTGGTGACCTCTTCATTTGAGAAAGATGACATATTCAGATTAAGCTAATACTTTTGGTGATAAAAAACGACTGACCTGTTCCCAGGTAGAACTAATGTTGGATGAGATTTGGAGATACCGATATATAGATTGGTAAGTACCAAGTTTATGTTGCACGATACACAACATAAACAAGTTTACCTTCAGCTAAATCTAAAAAAAGTGACACGAAACCATATCGTTCTGGTAAGGTTTCTCTAAATCCGCTAGCCACTTTTCAGCCACATATTGCTGGTGTCATCGTCAACTAAACAATTAAGCAGTGTGATATAAAAATCTGTGATCTACGGGGCAGACTTTTGAAAATCAGGGAGAACATGAAATAGAAACAACACAGCTGACATGTTGTAATCATCTCATCAAGTTGCCATCAAGGCAGTCCTTCGTCGCGGGAGAAAACCGAATATCTCACTTACCATTAGGTAAAAATACCTGATATTCTACCAAACAAGGCCGCTTGGTGTCTTCTTACTGTGTGAGATCAGAAACCCAATTTCCCTAATGATCTAGGTTAATTTCTGTGGAATTTTCACAGCCATACAAACATCGAGAAGTCCTCAGCAAGATCAGTTTTTGCCTGTGTGGGGAACAACAACTAGTCATGGGGGGTCTCCCTCTCTGATTGGCTAAACGTCACGTGACTATATAGGACGTTCAACGAGTCAAAGGGGCGAGACGAATTTAGAAGAATAGAAAAATCTATGCAAATAAACCAAAGTTAATAAAATACTTACGTATATACATTATTATACAATATAATATCAAAGTATTTTTTTATAAATTATCAGGGACGCTCTGAAAGTACAAATCATTACAATATTTAATTCTTGAGCCCCTTTTTAAAAATAGTATATTCTAAAACCCCACGATGCAATACGCGCGCTAATTGTGCGCATGCGCATTTAGTTTTATTTCAAAATGGCGGTGTTTTTCGTGTGAGTAAGGCATGGGAACACTGTTTTTCAGGTAAATATCAAGTCATTCATGCCACTTACAAATCACTGTATATCTTCCAGGTTGTTACCTAAATGCATCTTCTTTCCAAAATAACTTTTGTACTGTTTTTCATTAAAACTGTCGAGTGACATTGCACATGAATAATAATGAATCAGCTGTTCGGGGGCCCCAGCCGGGGATTTCCTTGTTCCGTCATGTACTCAAAATAAAAATAGTAATAATTGTTTAGATTGTAAATGCGTTTGTAATACGACTACTAAATATCGGAATACCACAGTTTATAAACCATAATAGGTATGTTATCTTTTGAACGTTTTAGGGGCCCTGAGATTTGTATGGTAAAAAAATTAAATAGATTGAGCTGATGAACTCCATCGGTGAGGGCGCTAGTTGGGCTTACCCGAGCATACAGTGTCTGCCGTCGCACTGTTACGTCATTTGTTTACATCCTTGCCAGCCAGCCTACAAAAGTTGCTGTTAACAAATGTAGCTCATTGGTCAGCACTAGCATATGATCCACTTTCACAACTCTGCCTGAGAGTTGTTTTATTAACAGCAACATTTATGTGTATATTTATTACCAGCAGTGAAACATTTTTTTTGGATGCAAGCTGTTATTGCTAACCAGTCACTGCGCACACATGCAGGCAAAGCCTAAACAAGTGCGATGGTTTCTTTTGTCCAATCATGATTGTGATTAAACAAGATTGTCGATCAAGATTGTATATTTGATTATGCTCAATCATGATCATGATTGATTATCATAATCATCAAAATATAAGCCAAGATTGTCCTGTTAAAGATGGTGGGCAATTAGCAGAGTTAAAATATGCAAAAGTCTAAAAACAGTTTGTAAATTTTAGCAAGCGGCAAGTATACATATTTTTTTTAATAACTTGCTAAGTTTTGACAATTTCTCACTAATATTTTTGTTTTTTTTGTTTATGATTATGACTTTGCCAACATGCTAAGCAAAACATTATAATCACAATCAGGATTGTTTTTAAAGACCATAATGTACTGAAATCCCACATTTTCACTATTCAAGAACTGGATCTCAGTCGTACAGGAACAGATTTTGTTCAAACATGGTACATACATTGAACATAATCGGACCTTGATGCACATTTTATTTTTCAGATTGTGTTCAAACTGGCAGTCATTTTGTTTCAAAGAATGAAGTTCTAAATACATATATTCAACATGCCTGGACCAATCAACTTCAAACTTCACACATTCATCATACATTATATCAGACATATTGAAAATGGCTGACTGGTGGCCATTTTGTTTCAAAGAATGCAGTTGCTGACTCGTATATTGACATGTGTACAATATGGTTGTTCATCGTTGGTACCGATTTGTAACAGGTGGTACCAAGCTCAAAAAAAATAGGTTTGTGGATAGAGTTCACAGCTGGCTACATACATGAAGCTCGCACTTTGTCCGAAAAACAGAACACAGAGCAAAAACTGTTCTTGTATGAGATAGTCTGTCATCATCTTTTCATCAACAATAATTACGTTTTCATCTTCTCTTTAAAAACTACTAGCTTAATTGCTTGGAAACTTTATATGTTGCTACCTTGAGTGAGCCTCTGTCAGATTTTTGCTTGTATCTTCAGTTCTTTATTTTTGGTGAATATTTTTGTTATTTTTCATAAAAATTTCTATTTTCAACTTCATGAAAATTATAAATTGGTTTTAAACTTGATCTATATGAGATTTGTAACAAGATGATAACAATTGTAATTGCCAGGGCAACAACCAAATAATAACTACTGTAAAATCATTTAATTTCACTATTTTGATGTTTTGAGCATATTCACTGTGTTTAAAGGTGGCTCTGCAATCTCAGTTATTGCACCAATGCATCATGGGAAATGTAATTTGCATGGTCCACAGCTGTTATCATTTCAACCGGAGGTGTTAATTCCGTAAGCTAACGTCATGCATTATGCTATTATCCAAAAGAGAACTACACTACCATATGTCAATTTCTTACACCATGAAGCTTCTTATTTAGTTCCGTCCTTGTACAAAAAAGCACATCGGCATAAATAAATGTGGTTTATTTAAATGACCTACACAATGTAGTTATCGTACAACGTTTGCTGTAATGTGTCTTGTCAGCTAGGCAATGGTGACGTTATGCAATAAGAAAAAAATGCCTACAAATTAAAATAAAACTTCTTGATATGACTGTGTGGCACAGGCATATCCAGTTGTTCGACGCCCCAATATACACGAATATATGCGCGACTTGTACATTAGAAAAAAGTCTTGAACACAGACACGCATACATAATGTTGTTGGATGCCAATTATTTCACTGCGCGGATATATTTCAGGGAACATATTCTTTGCAGGATCTTTATAAGTTATTTATTTCGAGACACATTTGTACTTTTTAAATCGGTAACGTCATATATTAAATTCGAGAAGCTTCCTCGACTCAATGCTTGAGGACATATTTTTTGTCAAACAACTGGGACGTCTGACACATATGAATGCATGATGAGCCACTAGAACGAACCCGGCTATTACATTGTATCATAACTTTTATAACTATTTATTATTGTGCATTGAGACCAAGTTCTCTCTATTTCAATATTCCTCACAGTGCAGGGCTGGTCCACTATTTCGGTTGAACAAACCCCACTGATGAATAAACTTCACAAAGACCTTGAAAATACAATTTTTGTGGTAGAAATTGTACAAGCCGAATACTTTCTTAATGAACTTAGTAGTTCACCAAAAAAAAAAAAACTTTTTTGAGAGATTACTATGCAAATCTATTTAACGCCAATGTCATAGGACCTTGATGAGCATTAATTTTTTGGATCACATTCTGAATGTTTGAGAAAGACACCTTCCCTAACACATGAAATTTTTATGTTATTGTAGGTACAGAGACTGTATCTACCTTGAATAGTGATGAAGATGTGCTATTATCATGGTCTTTGATTTAACTGCATGAAGTGTAGTAAATATTTATTGTTAAATATGGGAATTTGTGAAGATATCATCAGAATTCAATACACTAAAGGAGGTGGTAAAGTTAAAAAAAATACCCAGTGAGACTGCAGTGCACATGAAAATATATTCAATAAGTTTTTGGTACTCTAAACTCACTATTCACAAAATAATCCTGAATAGTTGTTGGCATGTTAGTGAAAGTTGTGTTAGGATCTGGCTGTTCAAACAATATTTAGAAAAATTATAAAAACTCGCAAGTATTCACTAATTCAGATTAGAATGAAAATTTTTATTTCCACTTGATAACAAAAAATACTTTTCACTGATTTTAATATATTATGTATTGGTGTTGGTAGTGACTACAGAAGTATCATACTCGTACTTTATTGAAATAATAATAATGAAATTCTCGGAAAGTTTTATCAGTACCACATTTTTGACCTATCAGGTCAAAGAACACAGTTACAGGTCAACTAATGCTGAAGAAATTGAGTTTTAAAAAACTTGCTCACAATCAAACTAAATTGAAGTTGAATTTTACATACATTTGATTTAACTGCATGGATTGTAGTAAATATCTCTTGTTAAATATGTGGATTTGCCATCAGAGATATAATCAGAGTTCACTAAAGGTGGAAATAAATACCCAGTGGACAACCACTGGCAGTTCACAATTTATAGAATTTATTGAACCAAAAAGTGTACAATCATTTGGAATTTAGACTCCAATTAATTCTAAAAGTCGGTCAAATTATTACATGGTAGCTACCGTAGTATGTAGGGGCCAAATATTTTGAGTTTTTGTGGTAGTTTTTCCAGCAAGGATGTTAGTACCACATGTAAATACTTCATTACACTATGTTAAAACCATAGTGTGATTTCTTTTGTTGTCATTGTTGTTCCCATTGGCATCCAGTCTCCTCTGAAATATGATGTACATACCAATAAATACATGTATAAATATAGAATATTTTATTATTAAAAGACAATAGTTGAATTGAACAAAACTGAAATAACTCAGAATAGATTGTATGTACAATATATATAAAATCATCCCTGGTTTTGTTGGTCAATCAATACACTCTAGATACCCATGTGTGTAGACTTGTCCACAAGTTTGTCATGTTTTTTTAGAAAATGTGAAAATTAAAAAAAAAAAATCACTGAGATTAAGAAATAATCAAATGATTGCAAATAAACAATATGATTTGTGTTTCTTGCATGCAATTTTCTACTGATGTTTAGGGTTAAGCCAATCAAAAACCACTGTATTTGCATAATGTGTATATGATATTTGAAAACTATTGTGTGCTTTATTTTGCTTCTATTTCACTTTTGTACATTCTGATCCCATTCAAAATTCACACATACCTTGTACACCTTGGGATACATAAGCATGTCTGTTCATCTGATTCTAGATGGCAGTTGACATGTTCTAATCATAAACGTGCACAACAAACCAGTCAGCAAATTAGCTGCCAATGTTAATGTTTTGATGTTTGGAACACTATTGTGGTGATAGTGAAACTGAAAAAAGATGTGTTTTTTTTTTGTATTAATGGTCAAATAAACACATATTAAAAAAAACGATACCAGATCTGTGAGTACCATTTTTTTTTCCACTGTCTCAATAGAAAAAATCTCTGAACACAAATATTGAAAGCACTCACAAGTTGAGA